TTACCCGCCCACGATTTAAATTTCGCGGCATTTTGTATTCGATTATTAGTATTATCGGATTGTGGAAAATATGCGGAAGCAACACAAGTAATCAGAAGCTATCAAGATAAATATCCGCATATGCGTATACCAAAAAGTGTGGTAAGTATACAGCGGCCAACTTCAACGATTCATCTCTTTTTTCTCATTCATTTGATTCTTTTTTTCAGGCGAATAGAATGAGAGAAAATTTAAACAAATACGACCAAACTGTAGATGCGAATAACTTTTATAACTTACTGAACGATTTAAAATCGAGCCACAAAAATTGTAAATTTTATGTCATCCAATGTAAACATTCTTCAATTTCATTTTAAAATTGTATATTTTTCATGTTTTTAGACTATTGACGAAATGCTTTGTCGGCCCATTGCTTTGATTCCGAAGAAAAATGTCAAAACAAATAGAATCGGATTAATTTTTAAATAAAGAGGAAAAAGTTTTTGTTTGAAATGTTATTTCTTCTCAATCGTCCATATTTGGTCAAGCAAATAAAAACACATCTAGTACTTTGAAAGTATATATTTTAATTAACGTTTTCCTCCACTTAGAATAAACATTTATTTTCTAATTATCTGGTATATCACCACCCGGCACAAGCATCGTAATATTGTTTCCATTGAGCAAGATCTGATCGAGTTTTGTGACCCACCGGCCTTCTGGTGTGTTTTCATATTCGGTAACATCTTCCAGCAGCATGTTAACAAAATCATCAAATCCCAGTAATGTGCCCACCATTTCCTTGTCATTCTTCATGATGATGTGAATGCGGGAACCGATGCATTTATCCACCAATTCTGTAATGCATTTATTTGTATATCATAAACAACACTGTTTTCTTAAACATTTTAGTTTTCATTCTTTCCAATTATAAATAAAATGAATGCCTTACCAAGTGGCAACAATGTTGATTGATTGGTTGGTCAATTAAGTTATTGTAAATAAAAAACGCAATTATTTGAGACTGCTTGAATCCGGAATTTCGATATCTTAGTGCCGATTGTGGTATTCAGCCGAATAAACGCAATAACAACGGTATTCCAAAAGATGTGATCGACATGTTTCGCGCATCATCAAGCAATGCAAACATATTTACAGAGATTAATTCACACATTTTTACAGATATTTCTAAATCAACCGGATGAAGAACAAGCTCCTGAATTTTTATACGCAATATTAAAATTGCATTTTTATTCAAATAAAGTTAAATTTTTCATTAAATGACATTACATTTTTCATGTCTATTTAAAAAAAAACATGGACGAGATTTACTAGCGTGCATTGAAAAATATACTAATTCAATAACTTCAACGTTTCGGGAAAGAAAACAACATTTGATTTTAGTATTGTAAAAACATGTATCCGGTTAAATTTATTACATAAATTAAACAGTTTGGTTTTTCTTTGAACGAATGAGTATAATTTAACTATCATTTATTTTAGCATTTATTTTCTAGATGAACCATAATCCACACAGAAAAAATGATGATAATAATAAAAATAATAATAATATTTATAATGATAATAATAATGATAAATGTGTTTTTTTTTTTGTTTAAATTGAAATTTTTACAGTATGACTCAGTTTGCAATATAGCGTCACCTAGTTATTTGATTTTGATTGAATTATTATAGTATTTAACATACAAGTGCTGCTGTTGCTTCAAATCTTTTCTTCAACATTGTGCTAATAATCATCGTTTTAAAGCCGTATCGAACCGGTCGCAGCGTATGATTTCTGTATGAAATGTTTGACGGTGCATATATGACTGTAATCCTACAAATTTAGTCGTATAGTAGCCGGATGGTGCAAATGCAAAATGGTGAATGTGGACTAATAAAGTTCCAATGCACCATATGATGTAACAACTATTGTGGTGATACAATTGATGGACATGCAAATAAGATGCACAACACATATACTTGCGGTTAATTTTGTAAGAATGATAGCAATATTATTCATTTTCAATTTGTGTCCAGGATAAATTTTTATACATATTGACCTCGATCTCGCCAATAGATGTGTTCTTAAACAACTGAATCCTTACGTATCCTACAATCAAAAAAAGGTTTGAAATTGAAAATTTGAATGTTTTGACGCTATATAGTTTTCTACAAATATTTACCACATATAATTCTCTGTCTGCGGTGCTCGCATTACACCCACACCTCCACCTAATCTACGATAGTTCATGCATCCACACAATCGCCATTGATTTGTTTCGGGATCATATACTTCTATAGTCTTTAGATAGGCCGTACCATCGAAACCACCTACTGCATACAGCTGGCCATTAACCACCGCTAATCCAACCTATTCAAGAATTCAAATTAAATTATTCAAGAAGAAATCAAAACCATTTCGTTGAAATGAACTCACTCCACTCCTTCTGGACGTCATTGCGACAATTGGGCTCCATGTATTAGTGTGCGGATTGTATCGTTCAGCCGACGATAATTCCATACAATCATCACGACCACCCACGGCATAAATGTAATTATTAAATACGGCACAGCCTAAATGTTTCCGTCTAGTTGACATGGGACTAACAGCACACCATTTGTTTTGCCTTGAAATGAAATGATTTTGTATCAATATTTGAATATAAGATTTGAAGCTTTTGATTGATCTATTTCATTTTACCTTGAATCATATCTTTCAACAGTATTTAACGGGCATTGGCCGTCTGAACCACCAATTGCATACAAGTAACCACCTAAAACAGCAACAGCAACACCTAATCGACGAGTCGTCATTGGGGCAACCTAAAAAGAATTTCACGAAAAATGATTTTAAAATCATAGTCTCCAAATATAATATTGATTGATGAATGTTATTTCGTTTTTTGAAATAGTTTAAATACCTTTGACCATTTATTTTCTTTTGGATCATATCGTTCAACGTGATTCAAACATTGAACACCATCTTGGCCCCCAACTGCATAGAGAAAACCATCCAGAACAGCAACGCCCACGCTAGTTCTGCACGAAGTTGTTGGAGCCACATCACATGACCATTGGTTTGTCTTTATGAAATTGAATTGTGAATAAGAGAGAATGTTAACGAATGTTCGCACACCAATATGACAGTCATTATGATACTCACTTGTGGATCATATCTTTCAATACTGTTCAAATAGCTTTGGCCGTCATGTCCGCCAACTGCATATAATAAATCATTTAAAACTGCAACACCAACACCGCATCGACGCTTGCTCATCGGTGATACCTAAGGGGAGAATCACAAAAGAAAAGAATAAAATTTAAAATAATCGATAAGTAATCGGAAAATAATCGTAAAACAATTAATAATAATTAATAGGTAATTTTTCGGTGATACCATTTTCCAATCGTTTGTCTGTGGATCAAATCGTTCAACCGATGCAATTGCATCACCCGAACACCAGCCACCAACAGCAAATAATACTTCGCCGCGTCTAGTTGGTTTTCTTGGTCTTGTTCTCGGTCCTTGCATCAGTGGTCTTTCTTGTGGTAAAAGTAGATAATTTTTGGCTTCATCAACTAAATCACGACATGCTTCATCCGATCGAACCAACAAATCCGAACCAACTGTGCCAACCAGAAATTTTGGACTGAGCAATGGAAGTCGTACATGTTGTAATACTGTTGCCAGATGTTGTCTTCGATCAGCTACATTATATTTAAGCCATGCCATGACCGCATTAAAAACTTGCTCTTCCGATCGAACATTTAGTTCATCACTGCAAATAATATCGACTAGTTGCCCAACGGGCAATAAAAGAAATTCCTCGCTTTCGGTAACCACCTCTTGGAAATTATGTTGCGTAAATTTATCGGCGATGCGTAAAAGTTCACGACATGAATGGGTATCAGCAAATGCACGAATGCCCAAACAATTGGTGGGATCTAATTGACGTTTCAAAAATTCACAACAAATATCTTGAATTTCAGCCAATTGCAATAGACATGCGGCTGGTAATAACGTTTGTACATTTGATTCTTCAACAATGATGTGTGACGTATAACAAAAATCAATTAACAATTCCATTGCATTTTCATCAATATCACGAATTGTTACTTCGGTTTGGCGTGATTCTTCCAATTCGCCAGTGAACATGGCCCGAAAATATGGGCTACATGCCGATAAAATAACACGATGTGCAAATATTTTTCGGCCACCAACATTGAGCACAACATCGCACAATTCACGATGTCGTCGCAATACATTCAATTCAGTTAGCGTAACCTTCGGATGCTTTTCGGATGTGTGCGATAATCTAGCTGGTGATGGTGGTCGTTGTGTGTCAATCAGTGTGTCTCCCATTCTGTTTGTTGTAGCTGCTAAACGCAGCGGGGCTGATGCCCAACTCCACACCGTATCAATCTATTTCAAAAGAGACAACTTTTTTATTTATTTTTTTCAACTATTATTATCAAATGAAAATTAAATACTATCCCATGCCGAGTTATTTATGAATTTGTTTTTGTATTAGTAATAATAGGTCAACCATTTGAACACTGACAATGCACAAACATTAAACGTCATATTGAAAATATGAGTAACTTACTTTCATTTCGTTTCAATACAAACATGAAATTTACATTTTTATATCTCTAGAAGATGATGTGAAATCTTCAATAGAAAACTATCTAAAACAAAAAATGAATTTCCACCAATTGAAACATACCTTTGAAATGTAGTTAAATCAATTAGTCCAAAAGCTTTTGCACTAAACTAACAATATCGTAGTTTTCGCTCAGCAATAGAATCTGCAATTAATATGAGAATTGCTGATGTAAAGAAAAACGACAGAGAGCTGCATATAACTGTATACATTTTCTCAATTCCAACTTACACTTTCAATTCATTTGATTTCGATTGACGTGAATTTTTCGTTTTAATTTTTTGTTGAAAGTTTTCTTTCATTCATAATAATAAAATAAAACGTTAAATTACATTTGATGCATATTCAGCGACATGCATTTTGCCTCTTTTTTTAATGCTAAAAAACGATAGCACAAAACATTTATACAACTTCATGTGTCAGTCTTAAACAGGAGACGTTTTTTTTTCTCTTTTTCGATCGACTGGTCAAATGATATCCACTTCAATGTCGAAGAAATTCTTTTTTTCTCAATAGTAAATTTTTCGTCTGAATTTTATGTTATCATAAAAAAAATATTGTAAAACTTCGTCAATTTCTTCTTATTTTTTTGCTACGAAACTAGTTCACAATTTAATTAGTTTTGGTCATTTTGTATGTAAACATCAAATCGAACTGCCTTTGATTTGTTTTGTTTTGATTTTATTTCTTCTTCAAAATCAAAACCAAAACTAAAAAAATGTTCAGCATATTTTGTTCAAATTCCGTTTTCCATTTGATTTAATCATGTTTGTGGTTACAATTTTTGTGGCTACCAATTTTGTTGAAAACTAATAATGATTTTGGGATTTTGATACACTTTGGACTGTTCACTTTATTCTCGTTATGATACAAGACACAATTTCACATCACTCTCGAATCATTTTTTTCGTACATATTTTATCAATCTTTTTTGTAAATATTTTATATTTGATTGAATTGTCAAACAAAATATTAAATGATGATATTATTATATCAATAGACGATGATCAGAACTCAAAAATGGTTCTGTTTATTTTTGACTGACTATATGGATTATTTTTACTGTGTGGAACGTTCATGTATTATTTCTCTAATTTCTGTGAGTTATTACTACACTTTTCTTCTTCTTCTTCGTTATTTTCTTTTTCAATATTTTGTCCATGATAATAGACTATGGCGCTGGTCATGATTTCATTTCCATTGAACGCACTCATTTTTGATTTCAAGTTGTTGCAAATAAAATTGGTTTTCCTATCGACAATCAATTAATATTATTCGTTTGATGAGATTTAAACGGTATTTTTTTTAAATATTATAATTTTTCATTTGCTAAACGAATGCATTCATTTGTTTTTTTTTTGTCATTTCCACTCTCTTTTAGCTATTTGACATGACGTAATCAAAAAATATAGTCGCTGGGTGTGTTTGTATGTGTAACTGTCAATTACTTTCTCACGTCTTTGTGTTTGTGTTCATATTATATTTGTGATCATATTAAGGCAATGAGCATAAAGAGGCTGTCAGATCTATTGTTTTTAAAATAAGCAATCAAAGCATTTCGATTTAATTATTATTTTTTCTTCGCATCATCCGACTGAATTCCATTGAAAACAATTTAAAATTACACCACAGTTGTATAACAATATACCAAAAATTAGGAAAAAATAGAGAAAACATTTCAAAGAGAATTGAGCATTGAAGAACTAGAATGCAGAGTGTATTTAATTCTGTGAAGGGAACTGCGTTGGGAGTTGCGGAATATTTGACGCCAGTTTTGAAGGTTTGTTTATTTTGATGCAGTTTTTTTTTTCGAATTCTGTCCATCTAATTTTTGCTGTTTTTTTTTTTGCTTTCGTCTTTGTCAACGATACAGGAATCAAAATTCAAGGAAACTGGTGTGTTAACGCCAGAAGAGTTCATTGCAGCTGGCGATCATTTGGTACATCATTGTCCGACATGGCAATGGGCAACTGGCGATGAGGCTCGCATCAAATCATATTTACCAAAAGATAAGCAATTTTTGATAACTAGAAATGTGCCATGCTATCGACGTTGTAAACAAATGGAGTATGTAGGCGAAGAAACGATTATCGAAAATGAAAATGGCGATGACGATGGATGGGTGGAAACACATCATTACGGTGCAACTGCAAATGAACTGGAGGACAAAGTGTGTGATATGACATTAGACGATAATAAAAATGATGATGACGATGTGGCCGGCGACATGGAAGATGAAATCAACCGAGGGAAGTCAAATGGAAATGATGACGATGACGACGATGAAGAGGCCGTTGATATGGAAGATTTTGAAGAAAGTGGCATGTTGCATATGGTGGACCCGGTAATTTTTAAACGCAAGCATTTAAAGTCTTATGCTGATTGATATATTTCATTTTGACTTTTTACAGGCATCCGCAGTCAGTCAACCAAAAGAGAAAGTCGAACCAAAAGCATCCACTGAATCGTCTGAGACTGGTGATCAAGTAATACATACGCGGACCTATGATTTGCACATAACCTATGATAAATACTATCAAACGCCACGCTTGTGGGTGGTTGGATATGATGAGAATCGTCAACCATTGAACGTTGAACAAATGTACGAAGATGTCAGTCAAGATCATGCAAAGAAAACGGTAACAATGGAAACGCATCCACATCTGCCTGGACCAAACATGGCCTCAGTACATCCATGCAAGTGAGTATCATGGCAATTGGCATTTTTCTGAATGTAATTGATTGACATTTTGATTTTGTTTACATTTTAGACATGCTGATATCATGAAGAAAATTATACAAACAGTTGAAGAAGGCGGTAAAGTGTCTATATTTTTTATAATAAATTCAAATATCTCTATCTAAATCTGTAAGGCTTGACTACGCGTATATTTTCCCTTCTGAAATGTCTTTTCTATGATATGCTCCTATATTTTTCAATCAATTATAGCCAAACTCATATGTAATTTGCATTTTTTTTTCTCTTATCCTTCTAGGTAAAGCGCTTGGTGTCCATATGTATTTGATAATTTTTTTAAAATTCGTGCAAACCGTCATCCCAACAATAGAATACGATTTTACACAAAACTTTGCCATGTCATAATAAGTGTATTTTCATGACACGCACGATTCGAAAACATTTCCTTGTCCGATGTCTTTTTCGATAAAAAATTTCATTGTTTTAATTTTCATTGCGCTTTGGATTTTACATGATATTGTTCAAAGTATCTATTTGCTTACGTAAAATATAACGAATAATTAAAGGAGCTCACGGCTATATTTTATTGAAATCAAATCAAATTATGATTATTGTATCCGAAATATTATTATCTATAAATCAAACAAAAAAAACGAATTCAATTTTTACAGCAACATTTATTTCTTATCGGCCAAGAGTGCGTTCATCGGTTTATATAAAGTATTCATCAAATGACATATGGAAAAACAAATCAACGCAAATAAACTTTATACATTTTGTAACGTTAATAATCCATCAAAATGACTGTTGTACAATATGAATAGTTTTTCCTTTTAAAATAAAGAAAAAAAAGTAATTCGAAAAAATGATATGTATTTTTTGTTACTTTGAAATAAAGTCAACGGATTTGCTTTACACTCATACATGACAAACGTATATATTTATTATATTTTGTTGTGTCTTATAGTGTGTTGGTGTGTTTGTATGTGTGCAAATAACATGGAGAGTACAAAAGTTTGACATATCTTCATCGACAATCCCTCATATTTCCGTATTTTGTGTGTTAGGCATTTCGTTTTTTTTCTATTTTGAGTCGCAAAATAAAGTTAATAAAAACACGAGTGAAATATTCATTGAGTAGGATTTCACAAATTTGTTTCTTTTGGATCGATTTTTTTCTTCTAAAAGTGAAATACGAACGAATTATCAAATGAAGAGCTATGATAAAAAGATTTGATTAATAAAGAAGAATATGTTTCGTTTAATCGATATGGAATGAATTGTTTTTCATTCGAAACTGGTAGTGCTTTTTCCCGAATCTGCGCCAAGAATTAAAAAACATCAAGTACGGGGAAAATTCAACGAAATTAAAAATATAAATATTGGGAGAGTGAGAGAGTAATACTAATAGAGAGAGTGTGTAAGAAAGAAAGGTAGTGAGAGACAGACAGAGAGCGAGAGAGAGCGAGAGAGAAAGTACATTGAGTGAACTGTGCATGCCGTACTACGTGAAAGCAAAACATATTCTCTCTGTATGTTATTCTCTGTGCGGAATATTTGAGAAATACTTTAAAGCGACAGCGCGGCAGTGGAGAGCTCTATCCATAAAAAAAAATATATATATGCTCTTTCCATTTCTCGAAACGTAACAACAACAAGTAACCGTAACGCGAAATATTGAGACGGTTCAGTGTGTAAGTGAAGCTCTTTCGTTTCCCTTCGATATGCAATCATTAACAAAAACAATCTCATACATGTTAACTTGAAAACGGTATCTATTTTTTTTTCTCACTCAATACGCACGTAAAAGTGTCTGTGTAACCAACATAATGAGACTATATATGTACGTTGATGGTGAAAGTGTATATCGTGAGGTGTGCTGTGGACTAATGTGTATGTGAGTATTCAAGTATTCGTTGGATGAACCAAAAATCTCCGTCAACTTTGAGATCGTACTATCGAACGTCGGAGCAAACAAATAGAGCGAAGCATAAATATATATATACATTTTAAGTACAAAAATAAAAACAAATATTCACGCGCAACATAGTGGTGGTTGTGAACAACAGCAACAACAGCAACAACAGCAACAACAATAACAACGACGACGACGGCCACGACGAAGAGAAAGAAGAAAAATCATTAAAATTTTGCATAGAGTGAGCGTTATATATCGCTCCCAATGAATTCTCATCTCTACAGTTTAACATGGGGCGACTACGGCACCAGCTTGGTGTCGGCAGTACAATTGCTTCGATGCCATGGTGATTTGGTCGATTGCACATTAGCTGCAGGTGGTCGTAGTTTCCCGGCGCATAAAATTGTCTTATGCGCTGCAAGTCCATTCTTGTTGGATTTATTAAAGGTAAAATATAGCAGCCATTTCTTTCGTTCGTCCATTTTTCGCTATCATTCTTCGTCAAGTCTTGGTGAGAGAATGCAATTTGTTTGGTGCATTTTATACAATCTTTTCCTCTTTTTTTCAAGTTTCTTTTTTGGTGAAACTTTTCGAAAATCGAAACGCAAAATTATAATTCGCACATTTTTTTGCGTATTTTAATTGAATGGAATTGCTGATAAGCCGTATTTAAATTGCAGAATATTTTACATCATTTTCTTGTGAAATCATTGATTGTGAAAGAGACCTTTATTTAAAAAAAATAATTGTAAAAAAAACCACCAAAAATATGAATTAAAATGCTGACGTTAAAATCTATAAAATGTGATAAATTGGCACAATTCTTTTTATTCTCTCTCTCTCTTTCTCACAAAGTCTGGGTTGTGATTAACACTTTATTTCGTATACAATTTTCATGAGTGCATCTCTTCATAATAGAGTTGAATAACTTTATTTTTCCCGCATTTTTTCACGAAAAATTTCTTATTGGAATATTGTGCAAAACAATCATGTCTCAATGTAAAAAGACCTGTCTATAATCTTTAAAAGAATTGCAACTCTTTAAATCAATTACCCAAATTGCTGCCGTTTCCATTTCTTCTTCTTTTTTTGCATTCTGATTGTGTCTATATGTGTGTGTGTGTGTGCCGATGCAAGTGTATAAAAACAAAATGGTTGATTTTCGCACTTATTCCTTTGATTTGATTTCGTTATAGAATACTCCATGTAAGCATCCGATAGTGATGTTAGCTGGAGTAAATGCCAGCGACCTAGAAGCACTTTTAGAATTTGTGTATCGCGGCGAAGTGAGTGTCGATCATTCACAATTACCATCACTACTTCAGGCAGCACATTGCTTAAATATTCAGGGCTTAGCACCACAAACAGTCACTAAAGACGATTACAATACAACATCAATACAGCTCCATCCGAGTCTATTGGCCCAACATCACGTCAAAGCCGTCATTGATGTAAGAACCCTATATTTTTTTCACTCTTCAATTTTTTTTTTTTTTTTGATATAAAAAATAAATATACGGAATTTTCAATAGAACGAGGATTTAATGACCGCCATACACGAATCATCTCCACAACATCAAACGATTCAAGCGCACGTAGTCGAAGTAGCTGATCAATTGACTGAAGTAACCGATGTAAAGGATGTCATTAATCAACTTTTGCCAAGTCGCAAACGGAAACCACGGGTCAAGAAACCAGTCGGTATGTGGCCATTTATAAATGTCTCTCTTATTTCCAAACTTATTTCATTTTTTATTCAATAAAAAACAAATTTCTTTCTTCTTCAGTACCAAAATCTGAACCGCATGCAAACGCCAGCACAGAAAATGAGATAGAAAATTCCCCACCAAAACCCAAAAAGCCAAAAGCACCACGAGATCCAAATAGTAAGTGGCTTTTCAATTCATTCGAGCTTCAACATAAAAGGCAGCATTTTTATGAATAAATTTTTAATTAATTTCAGAAACAAAATCTCGATCACAATCTGAACAACCTGCCTCCTGTCCAATTTGCGGTGCCGTTATAAAGCAGTCGCGAAATTTACGTCGCCATTTGGAACTAAGACATTTTTCAAAGCCAGGAATAAAAAAGGAACGCAAGAGTATGTACAAATTTTACGTTTCACAAAAAAAAATTGATGCAATTATTTTTGTGTGATTTTAAATGGAAATTCTCTTCAAACGATTTAGGTACCAATAATAATATAACAGGAATGCAAACGGTGACCGTGAAGAAAGAACCTGAAGATATATCATCGACGTCACACCAGGACCAAGGGCAACAAATGCAACTACAACAATCACAAAATCAGACCATTGCTGTGTCAGTTGCACCAAATCAAACTGCTTCGCATACGATCGTTGAGGCCAATACCAATGCAAATCAGTCACAGCATATAATGCATGAGAATTCAGATGGCTCAACATCGTTACAAATTGCTCAGGTACAAAATCTACCAACAACACATCAGCTCACATTAAGCAATCTCAATCAGGTATACATAAATATATTTACAAAGCTCCATCAAAACAAAAATTTATCGATCGTTGTTTTTTTTTTTAAATTTCAGTCGAATAAAAATCACATCGTATTGAAAAAGGTGATTTTTGTAAAAGGAAATAACGCAAATACGTAATATTATATCCAAGATTAAGGCCATCATTAAATAAACGGCTTTAACATTAAACATTCGAGGAGAATGATACAACTTTGAATACGGAACGAATCTTCTTCTATCTTCACTTTGTCGACAAAGTCTATAAAATCCATGTAAGAGTGCACACATGCGATGCATATGCTGCAGACGCCGCCACCACCACCACAACCATCTATCACCGCCTCCGCTATCCGATGACAACTGAATTTCTATACAGAGCGCTGAATTTTTTTGGAGGTAGAAAGCACTTAGCCAAATACTACGTATATTTTAAATCTAAACAAAATATCAAATTTAGTGTTAATTATTCCGTATTACATGAAAAGAAAAAAAAAACACAAACACATAGAAAAGAGAACAAAAAAACATTAAATGTCCAGTACTATAAATGAGAAGAAGTGAAATGTGCAATTTGCAAAGCGAAAGTGTCTATTGTAGACATTCACATAAACTCTGACCATTTCACACCGGTGCAGTTGCATATTGTAGACATGCACGAAGGAAATATGTTTTTGTAATACGGTGTGCTTATAATAATAATTTTAAATGATAACGACGATAATAGCAACATCAACAACAACAACACCTACCACATATCTTCATTATTAACAATTTTGGTTAAACCAGACTTAAAACATGTTATTATTCATTTAATGTTAATAATAATATGTTTTCAAAAAGATATGCCATTGAATAGTTGTTGATAAAAGGGAAACAAAAATCTTTGAATTAATTAATAAAATTGACTACGTTTTTTTTGGAACATCTGTGAAGTTTTATTCCGGTTTAGGATTTGATACATATGGAAAACTTAAATAAGAAATTGGATTGTAGTAATTTTTAAAACAACTTATTATGAACAAAAAAAAAACCACATAAGTCCAACAGTAATACGTGCAAAAGAATCGTTGAATTATTCTTCAAATTTGGCACATTTTTCGATATGGATTTTTTTTTATAAAGAGTTAATAATGTGAAAACGACAATTGAATGTAGTTTATTTCACCAACAACTATTTTAAGAGAAAAAATCGTGTTTAATTATATGTATAATTTCATATCGATTCCAAATTTCACTCAATGCACATACCTACCTAATTTTTCATGTAAGCGAAATCATATTGTATCCATTGAAATAAATATTTTAGGTAAATGACCGAACAAATCATTTTTATGTAATATGTATAACTTATGGCGCTTATCAGCTCTTTTTCGCAAAAGTTGCAACACACAAAAGTCCAACAAGAAATTCTCAGAACGAGAAACTATATATATAGTATATAAATGGTGAGATTTTTTAAGAAAAAAAATTGGAACGTTTTTTTTTTTTAATAAAGATAAAGAAACATTTTGTTTGGCGAATGAACGTAAAAAAAAACATGTAATATGTAAAATGGAATAAAAGCATTGATACATTAAATAAAATGTGTATTTTAAATTGATTTGATTACAAGATTTCAATGTTTATTTATTTTTAATTATACGGACGTTGCAGAAAGGCTCCATTTTTCTTACTTTTGATAACTATAGGTTTGTATGAGTCGGGCTTAACACGGGAATCATAACCATAAACAGACATATTTGCTTCGAAATATGGGTTATTAAGATCATATGCAATGACATTCACTTGATGTTCACTCAAATATGTACTATTGATAAAGGCGATAGCGGTGGGAGAGTCAAAAGAAAAGGCAACCGAAGTGATAGAGTTGTTTTTGTCCTTACATTCGAATTCGGCCTCGGGAAACCGATATGACAATGTGACGTTTTTTCTTTGAAAATTGATTAATTTATCACCCGTTTGTCGAAGCCCCAAGTTCACCTTCCGATTACGTGTCTTTGATGTGTTGTGACCATAGATAACAGTCACTGTTTTTGGATTATTTTCCGTCGAACTAGACATTCTTCCAAGTGTAGCTGCATCCAATAAGTTCACACTCGGTCCATATATTTTGCAAGTAACATGGATATTAGTACCTAAGGGGAGAATCACAAAAGAAAAGAATTAATTTAAAATAATCAATAATAATAAGTAAAATTCACTAGTTAGTACCATTCACTATGTTGAGTTGAGCTTGCAATGTTTTTTCTTTGCCCTTTTCTTTGCTTACATCAATGGATCCTTGAGTTTTCTTTTTTTAAAAATGAAATGAATCATTTATCAAAGTTTATACATTTTCAATATTAATTTTCGAATTCAACTCACGGTTCCGGGAACTTCAAACTTAGCAAACGTTATATTTGGTGATGACTCCGATGCAATATACTTGAATATTAATGTGTAATTCTTGGGCTGGTCGAGATGTTGACTAAACAATACCTTTTCAAATAGCGGTTTCAAATTGTCTGAAATTTCATATTTCTTATTAACACTTTATTTGACATTCAATTTATTTTTTATTTTTTATTTTAAATATTTAGTACCTTCCTCCCTTCCATATGAAAGATCATCACAAGAACAAAATTTTGTTAATAAAATCAGAAAAAATACGAATTTGGGTAACATCTTTAATGAATTGAGTTCAATTATGTGCGCCGTGTGAAGTAAAATAATATTGACTAATCTTCATACGTGAATTTTTTTGAACAAAACTTAATTTTTGAAGGAGATAATCTTTTGACCCTATGATGATAATTTATATTACTCAGTTCTCGCTTAACACAGATGATTATTAGCGGTATTATTATTGAATATATTCAATTTAAAAAATATATATTGAACGTACCCTGTCTGCTATGACAGCTGTCATTTGCTCATAAAACTAAAATGAGATTTGAATGTTTGGCTTTAGCTGTTCACTCTGTTTCTAAAATAAAAATTATGTTGTTTATTTTTTATGTTTAAATGTTGTTTTTATGAAAATCGACCATAAAATTACTACCAGAGCTGTATAGCATTTAAAAATATGTCATATTTCAAAGATCTAAATCCATACCAAGTGCATCAAAAGTTGATAAACGAGTATATTTTGAAAAGACCTGGCGATTTGACCAAATTGTACACAAGAGATACAAGCAAAGACAAAACAGATTTGGACGTGATTCGTGAAAATCATCAATTTCTATGGAACGATAATGATGTGGATTCATGGGAAAAACAATTGGCCAAGAAATATTACGATAAACTATTCAAAGAATATTGCATCGCAGATTTGTCAAGGTACAAAGAAAATAAGGTAAACATCAATTATTTTTGGTTGTTGTTTGAAATGTTTTTGGTTAAATATTAATTTAATATATTTCAGATTGCATTAAGATGGCGCATTGAACGTGAAGTAATCGCCGGTAAGGGACAGTTCAGTTGTGGTAATAAAAAATGCGAAGAACGCTCTGCACTTCGGAGCTGGGAAGTTAATTTTGCATATGTTGAGCATGGTGACAAGAAAAACGCCCTCATTAAATTAAGTATGCATTGAAATTAATATTCTCTCAAGAAATCATTGAAAACAAAAACATGGAACTGATTTTCTATTATTCTTAGGATTATGTCCTGATTGTTCCGAAAAATTGAATTACCATTCAAAGAAACGAGAAGTGAAACGAGTGCAGAAACACAAGAAATCACACAGGCACCGTGATACAAATACAAGAACTTCAGTTTCATCTCTCGATATGGCCACTGCCAGCAATAACGACAATGATATACCCGAGTCACAAAACCATGATGGCACAACAACAGCGCCAGAAAGTAGTGCGGTTCAACAGCTAGAGCAAATATTTTGGTCGAAATCAACAAACGACGAAGAGAAATCTCGCGAAGAAGAATTCGACGATTATTTGGCGAATTTACTGTTGTAGATGGATGCTTCAACAAAATTCAAATAAATACACAAAATAAAAACCTCAAAATCATTGATTGTTTGATCAAATTCTTTATTAAATGTTGCACAGATGGTCATTTTGAAGTTTTAATGCTATTGAAGTGTAAGTTCAAAAATCTAGGAAAAACAGCAGAAAATGGACATTTCTATTCATTTATAAAGGTCAATAATTTTTTGTGCTTGCTCAATTCCGGATGCAAATGCACCGTGTGCAGTGGAAAAATATTTATCATGGCAAGCCTCACCAGCAAATAAAACAACTGGTGCCGACGGCTTATGCATAAAATTAAAATAATTTTGCCGTTTTTTAAGCATTTCTAAATTTAATTTTAAATTATGGTCTTCATCATTGCACTCGTCCATTCCTGTCGTTGAGTAAAAATCCTCAAGTGTCACTGCTTTATTTAATATATTTTGCGAAATTGTTTCGTTACTATCGCATTTTGTACTTATATAGCTGTATGCTCCCCTCACAAATGGATTTGAATGCCATCGTGTGCTAAGAAATAAATGAGAAAAAATGAATTGAATTGAATTGATGTGTGTCAAAAATGGCTTAAATATAACTTACCAATGGTATCGATTTGGATACGGAACGGATTGATTTGTAAACTTGGATAGTAATTTTACACAATCGCCTATAATTTGTTCATCATTCAGTTTTTCCATTTGGATGGCCCCAGCTCCACCGACCCAACCCAATAAAATGTTTGAGCTCTGTGGTTGCATTATGTCGAAACCGGTTAAATAATCTGTCCATTGTTTTTTCTATTAAAAAAAAAAACGAAAATAAAGTCTGTTTTTTTTCTTTTCCTACTTTTTCAAGAAAATGCAATTCACCTCTCTTTTATAATTGAAAACAAATTGTATACCATCTAAATCGTTCCACCACACGGTATCGAATTCCAAGAAAATTTTATTTATAGTTTCAAAGCCAATGCTTTCGATTGCTGAATGAATTGGCGACGGTAGAGTTGGCTTAAACAGATTTTTATGTAATTTTTTTAAAACGCCCAATGAAAAAGTCACTATAACGTGATTTGCCGTGTAGACAGTGCCGTCGGTACATTTCACAGAAACATTTGCCGTCGTCATGTGTGTCTTAGCATTTTCATTTATTTTTGTCCTGAAACTGTTGTGTATTTGAATTTCAATCACTTCCTTTTTATATTCAATTGAATTATCTCGAATCTCATCAATAATGCAATCAACAACTGATCCAAAACAATTTTTGAAATTAAAGTGTGCCTGACACGATTCACCATTAAACGAATATTTTCCCCAATAAATAGCCGATAATTGGTCAAGCGATAAACATGAATTGTCGATTATTTGGAAGCGCACATGCCAATCGAATAGATCGTATGCATTTTCTTTGTCCTGTAGATTTTCTAAACTATCTATAAATTTTTGAAATCTTTTGCGTAAAAAATGGCCCACTGATTTTGGGAACGTTTCATTGCCTAGGGTTAATCACAAAGAAAAGAATGGAAATAATGGGAATTAATCAATATGTAATGGAACGTAATGGAAGTAATGGAAACATATAATGAAAATCAAATATGTATAGTTTAAGAGCAAAATAATCGTCACACATTTGCAACAACATTGCTTTAATTTGAGATTTGGTAGTAGTGTTGAGAATCGCGTTCTGCTGTGGAAGAAAAAAAAACAAAATACTTACTATAGAATAGCACTTGGTGCCAAGGCCACTACCTATTTCAATTTAAAAAAAAAGAATGGAATGAAAAAAAAGATCACCATTAATATATCAATCGGTCTACAATGAATGGAACCAAACGACACTTACTCACACACGTAAATTACTCTTAGACGGAGTAAACTACGGGAGACGGCCGAGGAGGATATTCATTTAATGAGCGGCAGCATTAGCCGCCCGTTGTCGTAAATAGGCAGCACTCCGATTGAAATCACCATTGATTGGAATATCTTGTATCATACACAATGATTTGTATATCATGTTGCGTGATGCATTCAGATCACGGTCAAAAACAATAGTTTGCTTGCGTCCATTGTATTGTTGATTCGCGATAGAATGTCCATAATGCTTGAGATTCGGTTCCAATTCAAGGCGATGTTTTGATCGGAATGTATGATGAATTTTGCCTATCCACTCATTTGGTGGTGGGAGAACATGGTTAAGGGCCGGTTCGCAGTTGTTGCAAACTAAGAAACTGAACGATACGATAAAATTAACATTCATGTCATACGACACATTTACTGAATAAAATAAAAATGCAATACAAAAAGCAATAAACTTACCGATCCTTTGGATTCATATTCTCCGGTCTTTCGCGGTGCAATGGTTGGTCTAAGATATCATGATCACGACTACAGAGCATCGATGTTCCTGGCTCATGAACTGCCATTATGCGACAATATCGATCAATGGTATGCGTTATGAAGGCCTGTGGTGTTCTGCAGTGTCCCTTTATCGGCGAATTTGCACCGATTTTTGCGTCACCCAATGCATACACGATGGTCTGTTGTGCTTTTGGAATTTCTTTTTCGAGTAGGGTCATATCACGGGCCACTTGATGTGCGGCAACTTGACGTCTGATATGCTTGTCCAGCTCTAGTCGGGCCACACGCCGTTGGTAATGCACTTGACGTGATGCCATAAAGGAATCCAAATTGTATTCCAAATATAGCTGGTGATTTGCGCTTTTGCTCGATGGTTGTTCGCCATAAAGTGC